GGGGGGGAACTTCTCCAGCTGCGAGCTTAGAGAGGAAGGCGATCGGTCTTCCCGAATTTCGAATTCGCATGGTGGCTGTAGTGTCGTGTTGCCAGGTCTATACGGTCACCAGGAAGGTGAGTGAGTATTATGACCGATCCTTCCTCTCTTGCTGTGGACTACTTCCTCGTCCTCGACTTTGAGGCCACGTGCGAAGAGAAGCGCCGACTGGTGCCTCAGGAGATCATCGAATGGCCGGTGGGGAACAAACAGGCAGCACCGCAGCACCGAGAGGGGGCTTGACGTACGTATGTGGGTTGACCTGTGGCCTTCAGGTTGTGAAGGTGAATGCACACACGTGCTGCATCGAGGACCCTGCTTTTCATCAGTACATAGCGCCTCAGGCGCATCCCACGGTGACTCCGTTCTGCACACAACTCACCGGCATCACACAGGTGAGGGACAGGAGGGATGGACGGCACGGCGCCGCCTGACTGCAGGCCCAAGCCCATGGCCATCGAGTGAGTGCATGGAAACGATGAACGACAGACATAGATCCAGACACATACACAGGCTGTCTGCCTTTTGCAGCCCATGTGTTCTGTTCGTATAGGAAATGGTGGCTGGGCAGCCGCCCTTCGCTGAGGCACTGCAACGGTTCACGGCGTGGATGATACAAAACCGTGAGCATATAGAACACGAGACCAGCGGCTCGACGACAGGAGGCACGTGTTTTGCTTCAGGCTTGGCAGCTCCAGCCGTGCCTCAGGACAGCAGTGAGGAGGAAGAGATCACCCCCACCGTCCCCCCTCTTCGCTCGGTGTTCGTCACGTGTGGTGTAGGTTCAATGCATGACACATCCTGTCCATCAAACACCCCCACACACGTGTATATCACCTGCACCTTTTTGACGCCCCCCCTTCGCTCGTTGCGTAGGACTGGGATCTCAAGACCATGCTGCCCGCTCAGTGTGCGGTGTCGGGGGTGGAGGTGCCGCTGGCGATGAGGACGTGGATCAACATCAAGAAGGTGTGCAGACTAAATGGGTTGCTAGGGGCAGCGAAACGGCTGTCATGTGCTGTTGCTGATCTGTGCAGGTAGCTTCCCACTGTTTCAGTCGCAGAATCGACGGCATGCCCGCCTTGCTGCAGCGCTGCGGGCTGTCGCTTGAGGGCAGGCACCACAGCGGCATCGACGACGCTATCAACATTGCGAGGTGCTGGGTGCACCTGATCAAGTACAGAGGGGGAGGATGGCAGGATGCTCACATGCAGCCACTATCTGTAACGTTCGTTGCTGTGTTTGGACCAGGACCTACCCCGAATTGAGGACAGCTGAGGGCATCGCCCCCTGGCTCACTCGCAACACTGCAATGGTAGCACCCCCTGGAGCAGAGGGAAGTCAAGGGAAGATAGCTTGATGTGGCGGGTTGTTTCTGTGTCATGCGGGTCGTAAGCTGTGGATTGTGATGAGCGATGCTGCGTCGACAGGCAATAGAGATCTTCATGCCGCCTGCATGCAGACCACATGTTCCCCCAGTGCCAATCGTGTATCCCCAAGGCCAACCCAATGCCATTCTGTTTGAGCGAACGCGGCTGGTGCATGCATGAGGCGTTGAGATGAATAGCGGTCAGCAGGACTGGTTGATGTACCATCCAACGCACTCGTGTACGCTACATAAGCAAGTCCACCCGACACACAACCGGCCTAAACCGGCCACGAGTGGGGCGGTCGTGGACGGGCTGCTTTCCATTGCAAGAGTGAACAGATTCCAGCGTCCGTCGCTTGCTGACCCTCACACAGCCAGTATGCCGTCCGGGATCATCGGTGAAGTTGACAAGGCCCCCACCTTTCGCCCCCCGTCTCTCGCGTTTTCGAGAAGTCCTTTTTCCCTCCTTGCTGCCCCGTTTTGGACCGGCTGTATCCAAGTATATCGGTCTACCGGCTGAAATCGGCTGCAATCGAGGTGAAACACCCGTCGGACTCCTCGCTCTGTCAGGCGGCCTTATTCTCACGTTTCCCTCTCGAGCCAACCGGCGAATCATCGCGTTTCGGCGTCAGGAGCATCCTCCATCGGCGGTTGGACCCGTCGGCAATGGCAACTCACCGTCTCACATGAGGCAAGTGCAGAATCAGTCTGCTGATATGCTGCCGCCACCGAAGGCCCAGCCCGGCTTCCCCGGGCCGCTTCCCGCCTCTTCTGTCGATACGACGCTGCATGGGGGCCAGCAGATGTCCGCCGCGGCGCTTTTCGGTCCGGGACCGGCCGGCAAGGCGGCGCAGGTTAGCGATAAAGTGGAAGAGATGGTGGAGGAAGAGGTGCCTGGCGAATCGGACGAGACGACTGCGGGGAGCGAGGAGGGAGGTGAGCCAGCCCGTTAAGGCAGCAATATTGACATGGTGGATGAGAAGTTGGTGTGGCGGGGCTTGGGTGTGTGTGTGGTGTCGTTTTGCAATGCAGGTTATGCTGTGTTTGTTGATTCCAAGGATAAGTACCTGGCCGACTCGCCGCACTTCTTTCAGAAGAAGTTCGCGGACGGCAAGAACTACTGGGGCGTTGTCGCGTGGAAGGTCAGACTCCTCAGAAAGAGAGCACACCAAAAGTTGGAGAGAGAAGAAGGCAATTTTTCCTTTTGGTGGGCTGTGTATACGTTGTGTGCAGGAGCCGCGTTCGTGGAAGGGGAAGGAGCAGTTGATGTACCAGGTCATCTATGCCGATGGCGATGCAGAGCACATGGACAAGAGCGAACTCAAGTATGCAAATGCAATGCACACAATACAGCCGTCGCACCAAATGCATCTTCGTCCATTCTTCCCGTAGGCGTTGTTCGGAGGGCCGCTCCCGCTCGGGTGCCCGTCGCCGCGCCCCGTCCATGCCGCCCTCCCTGGCCAGCGTGTTCAAGGAGATCCGCGAGGCGGCCATCCAACTCAAGAAGGATGGCATCACAGGTGCGTCACAATACATGCACTCCTCCGATCGCCATTCCGTCTGTTTGTTGTCTGCTGTATGCATGTGCTCAGAGGAGGATCTCCTGCCGCTGAGGGAAGCCACGGCCGAGATCGAGATGAAGCGCAGACGCACACAGGCGTTCATGCCTGCCAGGCAGCACACCACCCGCAGCGCCGCCCGGCAGGGAGGGAGCCGCAAGAGGGGGCCCTCCGGCACACCCAAGAAGCAGCCCCGGACCAACAACACAGCCAAGCGGCAGAAACCCCCGCCCATTCCATCCGATCGCCGCGCACAGAACCGCCGCAGGGCAACCGATGCGGCCTCTGTGCCTCCCCGGTCAGACAGGGGGCGGGCGAGGGCGGCTGGTCGGAGGCGGCAGTGGGAGAAGGAGCTGCCGATGTCGTGTGACGATGTGTGTGTCGACGCGTGTGTGGATGGCGGCGGGGGGCAGGGGGACGGCGGCCTGAGCGTTGAGGTGGGCGTGTGTGGTGGTCGCGATGATACGTGTGGCAATGGGGGTGACTCCGAGAAGGACGGCCCTGGGGTGGTGGCTGTCGATCTGGAGGACCATTCTCAGGATCAGACGCCCGCCAGCAAAGCCGATGTGCTCGTAGCGAAGGGTGCACCCGTGCTGCAGGTGGGGTGGATACACATGGAATATACACACGGACAGAGAGACACCCACCACAGCTATTTGTGCATGTGGTTGGTGCAGGCCGGTGCGGGTTTGTCGATGCGGGCGGTGAATGCGTTTGTGGAGTACCACGGCGGCCACCCCTTCAGCCAGTCCTTCTGGACGGTCGACGCGCTCATCGGCATGGCACAGCGGAGCGACCACCACAGGGTGAGCTCGTGGGGGTGACCACATACACACCATGGACGCATCCATCCATCCATCCGTCCATGTGTGCGTGTGTGTGTGTACGTCTGTGTGCACTGCAGACACGTGAGATGATCGCTCAGCCCTGGTGCCCACCGGAGAGGCGCGACTGGATTGTGTCCCGCCTGTTTGAGGTGCTGCTCGAGCACGACCGCATGATAAACACCCCCACCCACACCAACGACGCAGACACCGACCACACATCCCCATGTAAAAAGAGGGATCCCAAAGCGGAGCCCTACATCGAGATGGAAGTCGACACGTGATTAGTTCACCAAGTACATATACATCGACGCGTCGCGTGCATGGACGGCTGCTTAATGGGACTGACGCAGGGCGGGAGTGGGGGTGAGGGAGGGGTGGGCATGCTTTGCTTTGCTTTTCGTGCCGCGCCACAACGTACGTCACATTGATGGCCACAGGACACATGACTGACTACTTTGCCAACGTTCACTGATTGATGGATATAACACTGAATTGTCTCTCTCATGGCATACATCAACCCACGGGAGACGCCAAACCCAGAAACCGACTCACTGTCACACACACACCCCGTGGGTCATACACGCACACTCACACACGCCCTGCAGCCGCTGGAGTACCAACTTGACTTGAAACGAAAAACGCAGGGTAAGGATTTCTCTGTGCTTTTCTTGTTATGCTCGAGTCGCAGCTTGACCAGGAGACATGAAGGTCTCCCCAGGTCAAGAACCACACCACCTAGCAGACATACAGTACACTGACTGCACTTGATAGATCTGCTGTGTGCATGACACAGGGGCAGAAGGTTCGCTGTCCATCGGGCTGGGCCGCTTCCGGTAAGGGATTGCACAGCCAGCAGCCGTCACTCGCGGCCCCCTGTCGCCCGGTCACACACATCAGCCAAGATCGCATGATCGTGCTTGTGGGGCTAGTGGTCCAATCAGCACATGTACGAAGCGAGTGACCGGTTGACGAAAAAGAAAAGGAGGAGAAGGGCAGCAAGGAACACCCCCCCACACCCACATATATGGAAGAGGAGCATACAAACCACGTACATGCCCTCACACCCACATGCAGACCAGCCAAGAGGGGAAGCAACGATATATACGGTGCAGATGCCTACGTATACGCGACAAATCCATCCACCTCCATCCACACACACGCAATGGACGGATGGGCTGTGTGGTGTGAGAGAGACAGGCAGCTCGCTATCACTTCAGGCTGGGCCGCTCCCGCCAAGGGATTGCGCAGCCGTCAGCCGTCACTCGCGGCCCCCTGTCTACGCTCACACGCACATATGGCAGCAGACATCACATAGCATGTTGTCTATGTGAGTGAGTGGATGGGGTGTTGGGAGGTCGAGGTCAGATACAGAGATGCAGCAACGACGCAGCGAATGTATACCTTCCCACTGGCCTAAACTCATTCATTAGAAACGTACAAAAGCACACATGGCCCACCGTGTGCGGCCAGCAGCAGCTATGGCCTGTCTATATGAGTCGGTCTGCCTGTCTATGCGGTGATGACATTGTTCCGTAGGAAGGCATTGATATCCATCGACTCGTACAGAACGCCGCCGTCGGGCAGACCCAAAGCAGGCACCTGACTCACACACACACACACACGCACGCACCGGCGTTGCACATGTGAGTGTAACAGCACAGCACCTCCCACCTGTGTGAGTCCGCCCCTCTGTTTGAGTTGGTCCTTCTGCGACGGGTCGGCCTTGACGTCCACCAGCGGCAGCATCCCCTGCAGCCCCAAAGCACTCAGCTGGTCCAGCACATGGACGCAGAAGGGACACTGGGGCATGTAGAAGAGGCAGTAGCCCTCCTTCGACAGATCCTGCACACACGCAGCCAGCCAACCAACACACACACACAGACACACACACACAATCATCTCTTTCACTGTGTCGGTTCTGTGTGTGTCATCCCACTGCCCACCGTGGCGTTGACGTGCTTCATGTTTTCGACAAGCGGTGCGGGCGGCGCGTCCTTGCGAGAGGCCTTGACCTCGCTGATGTAGTCGCGGCCCGTCTGCTTGCCCATCCACTGCAGCACGGCGTCAAACGAGTAGTCGAATGGACCAGGCCCACCTGCACCAACGACGTACACACCGCACACACACCCATTCCCCCTTCATAAGTGTGTTTGTTTCCTCGATCTCTGGCCGACCGATGAATGCCAAAGTGCCATCGGGTTTGAGGACCATGAGGCGGTCGAGCCAGGCGGCGTAGGCCACGCAGGCCTCGTCGTCCGAGCCGTCGATGAGCAGCTCGCCAGTGACGCCCTTGCCGGCGAAGAAGTCCACCGCCAGCTTGGTCCGCTCGGCGAGGCTCGTGGTCTTCTTGACCCTCAGATTCCCATACACCGCCCACTCATCAGTCGGGTGGGCCTCCTGTGGCCACACACACAGACATGGAGAGATGGCCGCAGCCGTCACCCACAACCTCTGCTGGTGTGTGGTGTGTGGTGTTGGTTACCCTCATGTAGATGGTGACGAACTTGGCGTCGTCCTTGAACAGCTGTTGGGCGACCATCAGGTCGTCCATAACAGCCGCAAACTGACATGCCAATCAATCAAGACACACACACAGGGGGAGAGAGGCATGGATGGAGCCACTCTCAAGCAAACCGAGGAGGCGGATCGATCTCCTCTCTCTCGTGGCACTTACCGGGGGTCAGCTGCAGCTGCCGAAGTTGAGCACCAGGAACTTGGTGGCGTCGAGGAAGTCGTAGATGTGACGCTTCTCACCCTCAGTCGTGTACACCACACAATTGGGCGCCTTGCGGCCCTCTCTCAGGGTCCAGCGGCCACGCCTCCACACACAACACACCCAAACAGTGTCCGTCTCTCTCCCTCTCTCTCTCTCTCTCTCTGTGCCCACCTGTGAAGGCGCACATAGATCCAGATGCGGTGGTAGAAGGCGGGATTGGTCAGAGTGTGCCACATGGTCTCGCTGAGGTCATGTCGCAGCGGGTTGGGCTTCTCGGCGCCCAGCTCTCCGACGCCTTGTCGGTTGGTCATCGGGCCGGGCAGCCCGGTGACCTTGACGCCCAGCGCTCGCGAAGTGGGAGCATCCGGCTTTGTCGAAGCAGGAGCCTCCTTCCAGCCGAGCAGTCCCTTGATGAAACCCATAACGCACTTGAGAATGTAGCCCTGACAGCAGACAGACAAGGCACACACACCAACAAGCATGCATCTCATCCTCCCAATGGATGCTGCTGATCAGCTCAGAGACGTCGCCGACGGACTGACCTGTGTCAAGAAGCCGACCATAAAGGCAAACCTGATGACGTCCAATGGCAGGTACGCCACCTCCCACAGCTGCTCTGACACCGACGACGCCCTCATTTTGTGTGAAGGAAGATCAGCACAGCAGTCGACGGCCTTCATTCATGCAGACCGCCGACCACCAGATCCAGGCGCTTGCCGACGCCTCTCCGATCCCGCTGGCTACCGAAAGAATGGATGAATTGAAAGTCCTCCTTCTCTTGGAGCTAAGCTCGCAAGCGCCCAAGTTCGCAGCCCGCTCTGCACACAACTCATTGATTTTCGACGGAAAGGCCAGCTCGCGATGATAGCGGCGATTGACGTGCTGTCAGCTCACACGCTGCGGATCGGTGCCATTCTCGAACTGACCGGCGTGATCTTCCTCCACTCGCTGTTTCTCACGGGATGCACCTCGCCTCTCTTCGATGTGTATGCGGCGTCCATGACGGGCCAGCCAGTCGATGACTACGAGGAGAAAATGAAGGCCGCCATTGCAGCGGTTCGCCATTGGAGCCTGCCTTCCCTCTATGGGCAGGTGCCGTGGATGACGGGCGCCCTGTTCATTCTCGGCTTCCAGGTGAGCATTCCACTGCAAACAGAGCGGAGGTGAGCTGTGTGTGTGTGTGTGTGTGTGCGTGTCGCGTCAACAGGTGAAGCTCACTGCAGACCCCTGGCTGTCCTCTCGGCATCGTCTGTTTCGGCTGGGAATCGGAGTGCTGCAGATCGGTGCCTTCCTGGACGTCACCTGGAACCTCGTCAACCTGGCAGAGTGGTGAGCTTGCAGACGAGCAGAGCCCCTCGATCGAGGGTGGCACGTGTCCTGTGTTCGTGTGTCTGTGTGTGTGTGCAGGGTGATTGCCGTCAACTATGTGAAGGCCTCCGATGCAACCATTACTGCACTCATAGAGGGAGGGTTCTTCTGGTGGCCCGAGATGCTCTATGTGTCCTTCCTCTCGCTGGCGGTGCTGGTGAGTAAGGGAGAGGGGGAGAGGGGGGGACGGACAGCTCATGGTGCAGTGCAGTGCACACCACAGCGCTGTTTGTCTGGTGTGTGCGTATGTTGTTGTGCGTGTAGCTGTATGGCGTGTCGTTCATGCTGCTGGATGTGCACCATCCGGAGGGCGGCAGCACCTGCCTGGCCTGGACCCTCCTCGTCTCGTGGACACTCACAGGCACCACCGGTACACACACACACCACACAAGACGCATGGTCGATTGTGCCTGTCTGTCTGTCTGCCTGACATCCACGGGATGTGTGTCCATTCAGCCTTTCTCCGTCTGCTGGTGCCGCCCTCCCTGGCGGCGCTGAGCGTTGTCGTGGCCATCGACACAGCCTGGCCTCTCTTTCTCATTTTATCTCTCGTCCTCACTGTCGTCTGGTCTTTCCTATTCGAGCCGGCCGTCAACAGAGGTATATACGCTGAGGCTGGTGGTGCTGATGACTATGGGCCAGAGCATACCCCCCCAAGGCACTGCTGGGCCGCCATACGCCGCATATGACATTGGCCCGGCGTATAAGTGAAGGAGGAGAGCAGCGGGACAGAGGATAGGGGGTGTGTCGTAGCGCCAAAGGACTTACTTGACGTGTGGGTGTCCATTTAGCCATGTGGCTGTGTGTGTTTGTGTGTGTGTGCGCCGATCGGATAAGTTGTGTCGACAAGTTGGATGCGATCGCGATGAGGGCAGGTTTCGGCGCGTGAATTCAGTTGTGTTGGTGTGCTGGTGTTTTATCTGTGCGGCGGGTCAATATCTGCTTAGTTACAGAGAGTCTCGTCTTTCAGAAGACAAGACCCATCGCCATTGACTCGACCATCACTACATGGCCAATTGTCGTGTGTCCGCAAGTGTGCTGTCCTTTGCACGTACACACAAGAAGGGAAGAAACTCACATCCAATGGAATGACCCACCTCGATCGAGGCAGCCAGAGCAGCAACCCGTCCCTGACTACTACATGTCGCACACGACATATTACAGCCCCTGCTAGCGACTCACTCACACAGGGCATACAATGACATCCGCGGCGAAATGACCAGATAAAAAACTCTTACAGACCAGACACACACACCCTCAGTCAGCTGGGTAGTCCAACAGTGAGCTGACAGGATCCTCCCCACCACCGTATCGCAGCAGGAACTGCTTCAGCCAAGCCATGGTGACGGGAAAACGCTCGTCGAGAGTCCGGCCAGCAGCCACAGGCACCTCAGTGGTTTCCACCTGCAGAACTCTGCCGCCGTTGACGTAAACTTCGCCGTCGACGAAGTTGACTACTAGCAAGACAGGTCCACCGAGCCCCTCGAGCAGGAAGACCATCCCCCTGCGGGGATCTGCTTTCGACCGATATTTGGCCGAAGTCAAACCGTACCTCGAACGTAGCGAGTATGTCCGCCTTGGTCAGCCACATTGCGCTTCGCCGCCTACCTCCTGCTCATTGTTTTAAGCTCCTCGTCGCTGAATGGGGGCTTGGTGAGGCACACCTCGCCGCTGCCGTAGTGGAGCACCCCCTGCCGGAGTACCTGCGGTGCTTGGACGTTGGGCGTCGACCCGTGAGTCGACCTGTGAGAGGAGAGAGGAGAGAGGGGCAGTGGCTGAGCTTAGTGAGGGCGCCACGCATACCAGTGGTTGATGAAAGACTGCTCAGCCATGACTGACACGACAGCCCTCAGCTGACATGAAACGTGCGTGACAATGACGAGAGCACACCCGCACAGCGGAAAAGACGGATGGTGTAATGGCCATGGATGTCATCTCGCTATTGACTGCAGCTGCTGCACGGTCTACACACATGTGTCAACACAAAGGCATGTATACAGGCAGACAGATGAGGCAACACACATGATTCACGTACCTTCTCGTATGTCTTCTTCTGCCCCTTGCACCATCCCCTGGGGCAGCTCCTGCCGAAGCTCATGGAGCCAGCCCACCAGACACCCCTCGCAGTACTCATGCCCACACTTGGTGCATCGGCTCTGACAGATGGGGCAGTCGCTGTCGCCCTCTCCCTCCCCCTCACCATCCCCGCCGCTCTCTGCTGCCTTGCCCTCTCGCCGCAGCAGTGCGCCCGGCAGCACATCACTGATCGGGCAATGGCACCTCTTTCTGTGGCAATGGCCTGATGTGATGTGAAGGAAAGGGAAAACAAAGTAACAGTGCTCTGTGTGATGGGCTAGAAGTGTGCAGTGTCACTTACTTTTGAGTGTCTCTGTCGAAGTCTTTGGCGCCTAGAGGGATGAGCTCAGTTCTCCAAGGTTTCGTCTGACAGACGTCAACGGGTTCTGCCCACCCGTTGACGTCTGTCAGACGGTGCAGGAGAAACAGAATGGCGCCGACATCGCGAGTGATTGTGACAGGCATCTATACGGCACCAACACACACACACACACACACACACACACACAGAGTTGGAGAGAGAGAGCGGCTCCTGTTGTATGCCGTGTGTGCCGCTGTATCTGTGAGTATGTCATTTCGCCTGCCTGTCATTCGACCAGCGCACCCGTACCGTTCCTTCACAATGTGAACATCTGCATCGCCGTAGTTGCAGCAGCCTGCACACAGCCACGTGCGAGGAGATGAATCCTACACACTCACATGAGGGTCTGGATGCGTGTGGCTTGTGGCCTCTTACGTCGTAGTATGCACAGTGACTGGATGTGCGCCGGGGATGTTGCCCATGTCATGGCGTTTGCCTTGGCGCCAGCAGCCACAAAGAGGCTGTGGTCCATCCTGTTGCCGTTCTTCCCCTCGTATCGGCGGTCAGTGCCTCCTTGTCCTTGGTGAGGGCCTCCTTCTGCAGCTCAACGTGTTGACGCTGCCGTCGGGCATAATTACGAGCGCCAGCAAATGCCGGAAAGATGGCTCACAAACGATGCTGCAGCGGTGAGAGGGGAAGGGAGGGCAGATGAGATGCGAGAGAAGGCAGCGAAAGAAAAACCCTAAAAAAGACGGGGGCAGAGTCTTGGGGCGCGAATTCTCGACCGGCCAAAGTGTGACCTTTCCCCGTTCCACATTCTCCCGCACCGAATTCGGTGGTAACAGCTGTCGGCATTATGGATGTGCATCAGGTGAGCCAGCAGCCGTGAGCAACGATCTGATGATTCTCCTCGTTGCTTCGCTACTCTGTGTGTGTGTGCAGGTCAGGGAGGATACGCGAGCAGTTGAACAGGGCCTGCGGCACCTGCAGGAGCTCAACACAGCGGTGCGCCTGCCTGCCTGCACAGAACAAGTCGTCGACTCTCTCTCTGCGTATGTGTCTTCCCTGCAGCTCGGCGCGTTGCGGTCTCACTTTGAGCAAGCGCAGCCTCCCAGTCTCACTGCACAGGTACGTCACACACACTGCCGCATCGCTCGTGGAGTTTCCGTCTTTCGCAGGCGCCGTCGGCCAGCTCATTGGAGCTCCATGTGCAGCATGCCCTCGTCAGCTCCCACATCGCCACAGCACAGTCGCAGCTCACCCGCACACATGAGGACGTGTCGCGGGTGGTGGATGCACTCAAACCGATCCTGGCGGCCGCACCCAATCCCGCCACTCAGGATGATGCCGAGGTGCGCACAGCAGATGGCGACAGCACGACACTCTCTCTGTGTGTTAATCGCTGGTTCTTGTTGCTCTGTGTTTTGCAGGCCTCTGCAGTGAAGCGCCCGTCATTTCGTCTGACCCATCGAAGCGGCAACCCTCCACCTGTGAATGTGAATCAAGGACCGGTCAGACCGACACCATGACAGATCTGATACATCGAATCCTCTTGACCTTACTCTGATGTCATGTTGATTGTCACATCAGGCCCGTCGTCGGCTGTCGCGTGATGAGCTCTCCAACGTGTTCGGCCACCTGCAGCACTGGGAGCTGACGCGCCACCGCCGGCGTCTCGGCACGCCCCTCTTCCATCAGTCGGCCGCCAACTACACCCACCTGGTCATCGACTGTGAGGACGACACGGCGCGGCGCATGTGGGAGACCATGCCGCTGGCCGTGGCCCAGAGATGGGGGCAGAGGGCGACCAACGTCCGAGTGATCAAACACCGCTACCCCAAGTGGCATGATCTATGGTGCCGCGGGACCTGGGCGGCATTAGTGGAAGGTCATGCGAGGGGCCGGGCGGCCATCGCAGACAAGAAACGACGAGAGAGGGAGGGAGGGGAGGGGGCAGCTGCTGCGGTGGCGCAAGACGATTACGGCCCCAGATCAGCTGCTCGCGTTGTGGAACGCGTGGTCGACTGGACGCGTCATCAGTCGGCTGACGAGGGCACACTAGAGGTGCTGTCATTCGAGGCCGTCGAGCTCGATGACAGCATTGACATCCCCCACCCGCTCCCCTCATCTGATCTGCCGCCCGCCCCCTGCGTCCCGATCCCCATCCACCTGCCGGCACTCAAGACAGCCAACAGCATCCCGGGATACCTTGTGATGGCTCCTCAACGTCGCAACTGGCATATGCCCGCTCTCAGGGTCCTCACCATCGGAGAGCTGCCGGGAGGCGATGCCGGGTCGGTATGGCTGACGCACTGTAAAGCGATTGAGGTGCTGGACTTCAACGCCACTGGCTCTTATTCTGGTGCGTTTGTGGCCGACCTGCCGAGTGCGCTGCCGGCCGGATGCGGAGCACTCGAGGCGCTCCACACTCTGCGAGGCATCGCACTGCCGGCCTCCCCCGCCGACATCGACAAGCTGCGTGAGGTGATGGTGGCGAGGGGCGCCAGGCGGTCCATTCGCAACCTTCAGTTCATCTGGAACCATTGTGTGGTTGACACTGACAACACTGTGCAGCAGCTGAGGAAAATCGCGGAACTCAGGTGGGTCGGGACGGACCAGGCAGGCAGACAGACAGGACCGTGTATGTATGTACTTCATGTGACTGTGGTCGTCTGTTTGTGCTGTTTCGTCAGGGACGCAGTGGCTGATCCCGCTGCCATGTCGGAGCCACTTGTTTGCGGCAACATGGGGTATGGGGGTCTCGCCATGGAGCTCCTCTCGCGCAGCAGCGACCACGTGTTCCAGAACGTCATCGCCGTGTTCGCCAAGACCATCACGACCGTGACCTACTGCGGGCGTACCGAGGCCACCCCTGCATCGATCACGGACGACACCTTCCCCGCCGCCCACACCCTGCAGCTGCAAGACGATGCCCTCCCCAGTGAGGCCAAGAAGAAGAGGGCGGTCGAGATCGCCTCCCACATGGCCAACCTGCAGCGCATCGAGGCAGACGCCCATGTGGCTGTCAGTGAGGTGTGGCGTTTCGTTGCACGGCTGCAGCGGGCGCGGATTGGCAGAGGGCGAGAGGGCGGCCTGACGGTGCATTTGATGGTGAATTTTTACACACTGCTCGGCCACGTGCCTGCTTGCTTCTGTCTGGGGGGGCGGTCCGTCGAACAGCTGCGGGGCGTTGAGAAGATTGAAATCGATATCTGGGGTGAGGGATCTTCAACAGGCTGCACACACACACACACACACACACACACACAAAGAGAGAGAGAGCAGAGAGAGAGAGAGAGAGAGAGACAAAACAAACATGAGTGTTCTCTTTGAGCGTCAGGCGACGTCGAGGAGCTGGGAGAGGAGTTTGAGGTGGGAGACGAGTTTGACACCTTCTACGGTAATGTCATGGCTATGGTGACTGCGTACAACGAGATCAAGGTGGGTGCGTTGCAAAGTGTGTGTCACACGCCCACGCACACATCTGTCATGCTGGTCTATTTGCCCGTCGATAGGGACACACAGCCACTCGCGTGTCCATCGCCGAACATGGTCTCCGCTACAGGTTCCAGGAGCGATTCCACCAGCAGCATGCTGCCCTCAAGTTGGCCGGTGGACCGTTTCGGTTCTGCTGCGACGACCAGGGCTTCCTCGTAGAGCGCAGGGCGTAACTGGCTGACACAATTCACGTGGACAACGGAGGGAGGGAGGGGAGGGGAGGGAAAGGGGGCCGAGCAACACCAAAGGCATGGCAATCCATCCGTGTCTTATGTATGAGTGGGATGCGGGCTATATGCACCGGGAGACTTCGATGCTGTCCGGTGCCTTTGACGTGCCCTGGCGGCTCATGTTAGGTAGAGAGAGACGTATGAGTGTATGTTTGTATGCTAATTGGAGACATGTGTTGCGTGCTGGTGTGATTCATGGAATGTTATTGACATAGGTGAACTGTGTTCCTCATACCTAATCGGATTTCGCTGCGTATTTGGCTGTCTGTACACACGTCTCACTCACGCACACCATCTGGGCAGGCAGCTAGCTATGTCGCCCTCGGCACAGCTCCGATTTGCACAAAGGCACATACCCCAAATCCACGCTACAGTAGCTGGCAGTCACGCCATGGCTACCGGGCTGTTCATCAGCGGGGCCCTCTCTGCCTCTGAACAGACACATGACGAATAACAGCTGCACACACTCACCCCCCTCCCGCGCGTCACTTACGTGCCCTAGGTAGGTCTTCTGCACACAGCAGCTCGGTGCCGGTGCCGCCCACCAGCCACACGCGATAGAGGCTGTAGGACACGTAGAGTGTGTAGACGCTGCAGACGCAGACAGAGGGAAGGGATACCAAGGAGAATCTTTTCTGACTGCCCCGCCCCAATGTGTGTGTGCATTCACGGCGCACAGGTATATCGACAGTAGCGAAGGCAAGAGGACCGCCGCGATGTAGAGTACCTCGATGAATCTGTCCATCGTTGCTGCGTCAGTCTGCAGTGCATGACGCACACATGGTGGATACCATTACACAGCCAGCCAGCCAGCCAGCCGGGCGTGTGTGTTCTGTTCCTGGCCAGCCATTTATCCATGGCTTCTCACCTTAGCGGCCAGCGTAAGGCGCAGAGGAACGACGCCCGCGAAGAGCAGGACGCAGTAGACCATCAGGACCAGGCTCAGCAGGAGCATCAACCCCTGACACCTGAGGAAACAGACAGACGTCCAGGAAGGGTGTCGTGGCAGTGGAAGGGTGTCGTGGCAGTGTATGGTCTCACCCACCCCATGTATACGCAGAGTGCGAACGCCTCCTGACACATCGCCGCAAAGATGCCCACAACCGATATCACCATAAGACCAACTGCAGTGCACACACATCCACAGCTCATGCAATGCAGCTCGAGACCAGCCTGGTGCGGCGCCCTCGCTCACTCGCGAAAAGACGTGTGAGCGGGCCGAACATGAATGCGACGAGGGCCGCCGCGCAGTGGAGCAGCGCCAGAAAGATGACGCCCGACCGCAGCGACAGGCAGAAACAGCATCTGCAATGTAATGGATCATCAACGAAAGATCATGCTGCCCTTGCGGCTGTGGTAACGTCGCTTTCCAACCTGCTAGTCGTTCGGATCTTCATCAAGCGGCGCTCTTATTGGGTGGAGGGACCCTTTATACGACGGATCTTTCCTAGAATGCCCTCTTTTCGTCGCTGCCTTTCTGCCTCTTGGCGATCGCAATTTGCGCGCTTAATTTGTTCGTCTTAAGTCCAAAATGCATCCCCACGCCTTGCCTGCAGCCGCTGCGCCAGCTGCCAACCATCGGACGGCCAACGCTCGAAGGGCAATGGGCTATGGGAGGAGGAGATGGTCCGCCACGACAACGCCAATCGCAACGTCCCCCGCCCAGCAGAATGCGCTCACCATGACGGTATGCGGTACTTTGCACTGATGGTTATTGCATGCACAAGACATCCTGCCTTTTCTGCAAGGTCTGCACCTCCAATGTGTCCCACGGCATCCGCCTTGACCCTCCCCCCAACGCAACACGCCACTACCATACAGTGGAGTGCTTTGGCTTTGCACAAGAGGCGCGGCCGCCAGGGCAGCCTGAGCCGGCCAGCCAATGTGAGGTCAAGAAGGTGATCACGGAGTGGAGACAACACGAAAAGAGCCGCAAAGTAAGAGTGGGTGGGGGAGAGACGAGAGACAAGCTTGACACGGTGACACCATTGATTCAGGCTCTATTCGCGTTGCCCTATCGGTCGCCGCCCTTGTCTACTGCCCATCGACAGCCAGCGAAAGGTCATGGGAGAAGTGTCGGCGGAGACAGTAGCGAAGGGGCGAGACGTGACGCTGAACGTGTCGACATACTTCAGAGTTGGGACGAGTCGGTGCCCGATGCAGTGCAGAGGGCCAACAGGTGGGCGGCGCAGCAGGCGGCACGTGACCTGGTCACAGCTTACCGTGACTGTTTTCAGGTGCGATGGAGAGTGGGACCGCCATGTCAACGAGTGGGCTGCCCTGCGCTTCACAGTGAGGCCACTCACAGCCTTCACTTGCGAGAAATGACCGCGCCTCTCTGTGGTGCATACAGGTGTATCGCCAGCTATGTGAGCTGCATGCTCTCAGCCGTCCCTCTGGACAGCAGGAAAGAGACACAGAAGGGGATGATCGAGACGAAGCATGGATTGAGGAACTGTACAAAGGCAATGCCAAGCAGTTTAGCAGCCTTGATCGTCTGGCCGGCGGACTCTTCAGGTGAGGAGTGAAGATGTTGGCCTTCCTACGCACAAATTGGAGTGCTTTGGCTTTGCTGCTGTGCAGTGGCGGCCATGATAACGGACATCGAGACATGACACCTTTCGCAACGCCCTTCTTCTTCTCGCCCACTTCGTGCACCCTCAGCCCCCGACCGATGCTCCTCTCACTCCCTCTCAGATGCCAACAACCCAGCAGCCTTTCTGCGTCTCCGACATCTCCCCCGATGCGCTGCGTCGCCGAAGGGCAGGAGCAAAAGACCGTTAATCCGCCTTTCGCGCCCATATCGGCTGCAGAAGGCGCCTTCGACGAATTGCAGGGTGACGAAGCATGGGAAATAGCAGACGACCACCCTGGAGCTGGCCCTGTCGCGGGTTCGGAAGGGGATGACAGTCAACGTGCACGACAAACGACGGGTATTTCGGTGCCTTCGGTACAAGTCCCTGACGCGTGGGAGGACATTGAAGTGATGGACGAGCCGACACCCTCCCATGTTGATGGGAACAGGGGGCATCCAGACGCCCCGCACTCCAACGAGCTACCACTTCCCAGCTGTCGACGCAGCCCTCGATCCCAGTGTGCGGCCACGTCATCGACGGAGCCGCAACCTCCTGCCTCATCTGTGTGGCCCCACCATGCACCTCTGGCCTTGGGTCATATCAACTCGAGATCGAGAGCGAGACAGTCGCCCCCTCTCGGCGAAGCAACGAGCCCCCCTCTCTTCAGCTCGGCCCACACCGCGACACATGCGGGCCTTTCTTCAACCGGGACTTTCCTGGACTTGGGTGCCGCTCCCGGCGGCTTCTCGAGTCAGCTGTGTAGGTGGGGCTGGAGAGGGATTGGCGTCAGCATGCCTGTCGAGCAAGGAGGGCTGCCAATGCTGTTCACGCCCAGCGGCGACCCGGAAAAGTACCGGGTCATCTATGACGACTTGGTTGGCGGGGCCTTAGAGGGCGGTGAGGACCCTCTGGGTATTGCTAGTCGCCCTCCAATCCTCCGATCATCGAATAGGGGTGAGCAGCCGCACGCGTGCTTCTCCCTAGTGGTTATGGGCGCCGGTTGGGAAGAGGGATGGGGAGGGGACACACAGTGGGGTGCGTCGAGCCCTTTGTTGCTTCTGGCCCAGCTGTATCTGGCCCTCACGTACTTGACAGGTAAACACAAGGGCTGTGAGGCGAGACGCGACTCATCGTCACTTGTCTGGTCCAGAGGGTGGTGTTTTGGTGGTGTCGTTTAGCGGTCTTCCTCGACTTCGCTCTTTGTCTGTCCTGTGGCACTTGCATCGCATTTTTGGCTGTTCGAATGTCCGCGCGTACAAGCCCAACACCAGATTCGGGATGGCGTCAGGAGAAGCCTTTGCTGTGGCCCTCCATGCCCCGTCGCCGACTGACCTAGAGAGACAGCAGATGAGAGACTTCTGCCGGTACAACCACGTGCATGCAGCCATCTGGAAAATGGAACATTCCTGTTTCTTTTCTTTCTTGTCTCAGGGCCCTTCTCGTGAGGGCTGCGTCGTATCGGCAAGAGCAAATCACTGGTTTTCTCCGTCCGTGGTGGCTCGACGCCCACCGTCTTCCTGACTCAGATGCAGTAGTGGCGAGCCACTTGCCGCTGCCCCCACACGTGACGGTCAAGCATCTTTGCGCGTTCGTCGAGGCACTAGCAGGGGACCTCAAGCCCCTCTGGAGCAAACAGGTGGGCAGAGAGGGAGACGGTGGATCTGTCGGTAAGAGACACCTTCTCTTTTCATTTTTTGTCAGGTTGCTGCACTGAAGGCCAGCTTCAACCTGGCATCGTCGTCCGCCGGGCACAAGCAGTCAGCCCCCCACAGTACCCCCAGCGAAGCTGCCACGCCTCGCGAGTGGTGGCCTGTCAAGAGGGGCAGGCGGATGAGGCCTGGGCAGTGGAAGCCGGGCAGGAATGCCCAATTTCAGCAGTGAATTTCATTAAAACAAGGCAGAGACCTATATATCTCTTTCTGCAGAGATCTATGGGTCTCTTGTCATGAGGTGGCATAACATTTCTCGATGTGGAACAGACATGAACCTTTGATCCTTGCCAGCTACACGTCAATCGACAAAGGTGCATACACAGCACACGCCGACATTCAACGCAACCTCGTCCCTGTCGTTCTGGACACGATAGCAATGTCACATAGTTTTCAGCCGATCGTATCTCACAATTGTCACGCATACCACGCCGCACTGCAAAGAATTACGTCCATTGGGACTTGAGACGTTCTATTGCCGCGTCCCTCTTGATAAGCTCCACTCTCAACTTGGTGCACTCCGAGGCAAGAGCTGAGTCTCGAATCTGACAAATGAGACACATGGCCGGCCATTGAAGTGGGAATGTACACTCCCTTGATCCGCCCCGCGCACCTTCTCTTCGAGGACACCACATGCGTCAAGGAGGAGAGTGCATCGACTCTGCAGTACATTGACGTCCCACTGACCATCCTCCGCCTCGTCGTGCGAAGTGTCGCCCGCGTCCGTTTCTACAGCTGCCACTGTCTCCTTTGCCACGGCCTGAACTCTCATCTGTGTCAGCTTGTCGACGAGGGCGTTGCGCCTCTCCGTCTGTCTACGGAACTCTTGTCTGAGTCGTTCGCGCTTCTTGGCCTGCGACGGCCCCTCCATCACCTCGTCTACATCTCGTCTCAGCTGCATATACAATCCGCAAAACATCAATGGGATTTTGGGTCTACCAACAGGTGCAATTACCTGGTTGGCGTCGTCTGAGAGTTTGCAGTTCTCTGCTTTGAGGCTGAGCTGCTCCGCCCGTCCAAAGAGGCTGTCAGGGACGTCTGCGCCGTCCATGCCGAGATGTCTCAGGTGCCTCTCGATCTGTGTTATCATGTTCTGGTTCTTGGTGACTTGCCCCTTGACTGGCAGCACCGACTCGCTGTACCTCCGATGCAGGCGATCCACAACGCTGCGCTGACCAGCGAATTGATGGGTATGAACGAAAAGCATGGCACAGACACAAGCTGAGATGAATGACAGTACTTGTGAGGATCCGTGTCTGCGACCTGTTGCTCGCCCACGTCGCTGAGCTCTGTCAGACAGGCCTCCAGCTGCCTGAAGTGCCAAGCCACTTGTCTGCAGCTTCGCATGTACTTTCTTTACCTGATTTGTTTCCCCTTTGTCTTCAGGGGCTTGAGCTGATCCCAGAGCTTCACCACCTCAGCTCGTGCCTTGTCAAATCGCTCAGCCACCCGACCTGAGGAGACACGAGCACACTCCCATGAACGAATGGCTCCGTCGACTGTGTGATGGATCGTACTAAAAATGTGATTCAGCCTTGTGCGGCCGTCTTTTGACGCCAAGATGACCTCGAGATCCTGCGTCATGGCAGACCAAGCAGCGGAGTCCCATGTATCGCTCATTCTCGTCCACCAACCATATCAGTGATGGCATTCTCTATCAGCGCCTTGAGTTGCTTCTTCGTGCTTCGAATGGAATCCTGAACAAACAAAGGTGCGTGTCCTGACGAGAGGGTAAGAGTGAGGGGACGCGCATATCGTGCTCTTTGTGTCTTACGATGATGCCATCTTTCTCCCCCTTCAGGTTCCTCTGTTCTTCGTCAAGGTCAGCCTGGTGACGCTCCACGGCACGGCAAAGCTGCACTGAATGCATTCATGAGAATGAGAACACAGACAAGCGCCTTTAGCCGCATGCATTCGAAAGGAGCGTCCGTCCGCCCTTACACGTTAGTAGCCGGTCCGTGGGGTGATGACAGGGCGGCATAGCGAAGGAGCGGTGGGAGATTCTTTGCAAAGATATTTCCACAGTTCCGAGGGGAAGAGCGTGAGAGACGGGAATCAGATGGGGGCTCGCAGCGCCTCCTTCCGCATAACCTTCTCCCCGCCCTAACCTCTCAGTTTGCGAATCCTTGTTTTTATGAGAGATCATGAGTCCCTGCGCGTATTGAAGACCCCCGGCTGGTTGAAGATGGGTTTGATGGATGCTTGGAGGTAGCTGACCCCGTTTGCTGATGGCGCAGGCATTTCAGTCGGTGCAGGCGATAGGTGCCTTAGCTGCAGTCCAAGCCGGTGCGGGCGCACAGTTCGCTGCGGTCACCGCATCCACCAGACCAGCAGCACCCCGAGTGAGCATGCGCATCCATTCATCGCTTTACCCCTCGTGGTTGCGATGTGATCTCTCCCCCTCTGTATATCTGTGTATGTGCATCGTGTGTGTCAGCAAGAGGCCAGGTCGGATGGAGGCATTTTCGGCGCGTTCGACATCTTCGGCATGTGCACGTCGGGTGCAGCGGTCAAGCCGGCGGAGGCAGCAGCGGCCCAGGCCAAGAGGTCGGAGCAGGTGCTGTATCTGCGGCTGTGCCTGCACTCGGCGACCAACCTTGCGTCAGCTGACGTGGCCAGCCTCTCTGACCCCTACGTGGACGTCAAGTTCCAGAACAAGGAGCACAAGACAAAGGTCATCGACAACAGCCTCAACCCCGTCTGGGAAGACCTCTGGGAAACGGAATTCAGGGTGCGTACGGTGGAGGGGCCTATATGTGTGTGTGTCGTGTGTGTGTGTGTGTTGGGATGTTGCTGTGTGTGTTGTGTGGTGCAGGATGGTTCGTCGAACGAGCTGCTGCTGACGGTGTATGACAAAGACACACTCAGCGCCAACGACCCACTCGGCAACGTGACCATCAAAGTGCCGTTCGAGCCCTCCAAAGTCAAAAGGTAACTAACGCGCCGACAAACACCCCCACGCCGCCAGCAGCCATGCCATGATGCGTGGGTGTCGCGTGTGCAGGGAGGTTTTGCAGCTATCGAACGTGCCAGGCGGTTGGTTCAGCAAGAGACCAGACAGCCGGCTGACGATCCTGTACCAGGTCACCCCACCACCCACACCAGCTGACAACGACGGAGATGCATCGACACGCACGACCGTATGTTTGATTTGTGCAGGTGACCGATTCGCTTCAGAATCAGCCCGACCTGGTAGCGATGGCGCAGCGGGCCCGTGACGCCGACGACATGGAGCCCAAGACGTACAACCTCAGCATCACCGTCTACAAGGTACCACCACCAACACACACACGAGAAACCAACACCTGATCTGCATTGCATGCACGTGTGTGTCAGATCCACATGCTGAAGAAAAAGCCCAACGTGAGTGGGATGGTCAAGGTGACGCTTGGCAGCGGCCCCAGCGCTGTGACGCACAACTCAACGGCCACAGCCGTCGACGAGAGGTCACGCACCATACGGATCGGTAACAGAGTGCAGGTACGCCAGACATACACACACAGACACAGACACAGGCAAGGGATGGAGAAGAATGTGTCTTTCCTGTCTGTTCTGTGTGTATTGTGCTCTCTGTGTGCTGTGTGTCGGTCAGGGCTGGACTCCCGAGCCGTTTCTGTTGGAGGATAAGACCATCGAGGACCTCATGATGCTTAGGTATACACACACACACATACACACACACACGTGTGCAGCGAGTGCCCCACACACAGATACTGTTTGTTGCCTGCCCTTGTTCACTCAGGCTGAAGGTTGAAGGGCTCCTATCGCACACGGCTGCCGAGGTGAGTGACCGATCAGATGCACCACCCACACCCAATCGTTCCTGCCTCCGCGTCTTTCTCTGTGTGTTCACACGTGTCCGCCTTGTGTCCCTGTGTGTGTGCAGAAGCTTGGCGAGCAGGTGAAAGCGTCGGAGCGGGTCGGGGAGGAGATCAAGAAGGAAAAAGGTGAGAGTGGCGCCGAGAGAGAGGGGCTTTCACACCGTCCGTCCGTCACTTCCGGTGTCTTGGTTTGTTGCAATGTGCTGTCTGTCAGCTGAGGGCAAGAAGGACAGGCAGCACAAGCGGCACAAGCGGCTGCTCCAGCGCAAGAAGAAACGGGATGTAGCCGAGGTAAGCACCAGCAGCACAGTCACCACACCCACCCCTCCGCCATCTGCACCCCTCTCACCCTCCGTCGGTGTGTGTGTTGTTCGTTCAGTTGCCGGTTCAGAGTTTGGGCGTGTGGGAGGAGTCGCTTGACGAGTTCCACGACCACATCACCGAGACCAAGACCCCCTGGGCCGCTCGGGCACTCCTGCACGACATCCAACACAACCAACTCACCGGAGAGGTAGGTAACTCACAATCTCACAATGCAAGAACAACACAACAGACAACAGAACGCCGCAGGGTCTTACCCTTCCCCTCTCTCTCTCTCTCTGTGCGTGTGTGTGCAGGTGTTTGTGCAGATCGACATGTGGAGTCCGGCCGATGAGGAGAGCCACGAGCCCCTCGACATGGAGACCATGGAGGAGAACAAGGAGCTCCGCAAGTCCAAGGGCTCCCACGCCGGCCTGGGCCGCGGCGCCCCCACCACCTACTACCTCTACGCCTACGCCGACTTCCTGCCCACCGTGGACGAGCCCATCTTCGGCTTCGGCCGTCGGATGGACAAGCACACGGCGTGCGACCCGTTCGTGCGGCTGACAGTGGCTGGCGGGGGTGCCAAGCCGCAGCGAGTGACGTCAGCCACTGTGAGTGACCGGCAGCGGGAGGTCATGTGGGACGTCATGACCTTCACACTGCCCGCCAACGCGTAAGTGCGAGGGGATGGGACATACAGGATGACGGAGAGGGGAGGGGGGGGACACTTTCTGTCTGTGTGTACTTGTGTGTGTCTGTGTCTGTGTGAGGTGTGCAGGAAGCGGACTCGTTTGCTGGTGGAGTTGTATGACAACGATTCGGTGTCGCTCATCTCACTCGAAGAGCTCATCGGACAGGCACACACACACACAAAGACACACACACGCACGCACGCTGACTCACAGAGCTGACCCATTTGTGTGTGTCTGTGGGTCGCTGTGTGCTTTCCGTGTTTGTTCATTCATTCAGGTTCAGCTGTTCAACTTGCCCCTGAATCGCCGGCAGTGGTATCACCTCTACGGAGGGGGCCTCCGGGCGCCCAGAGACGACTACGCACTTGCAATGATCAAGGCAGGCACCCATCACACGCACACGAGCCACTCCATGGTGCTTTCTCTGTCTCTGTGTGTGTGTGTGTGTGTGTCTGCAGGGGGGTGTGCAGCCGGCGAGTACGTACCGCGGGTCACTGTGTCTGTCGATCGATCAGAAGCGCGTGCCCAACAAGAAGGGCTGGCCGCCCCTCGTCACCCTGGCAGCACACCCACTTCGCCTCAGAGTGCGACTCTACAGAGGCCTCTACCTCTTCGACATGAGGTCACCAACCAACTCACCACTTCCCCATCTCCATCCTGAACCCCACACACACTTCTTCTTGTGTCGTGTGTGTCTGTTTGTCTGTCTGTCTGACAGGGGCACGGATCTCGGCGACACCGAGGTGACGGTGCTGATCCAGGTGGCGGGTTGTGAGCTGCACCCGACCAATCCCTGGGGCGAGCCGATCGACGAGGACCCGCGGAAGGTCAAGGAGGGTGACAAGGGGGCCGTGGTGCGGCAGGTCATCCCGGACAAGATGCTCAAGCAGCTGCCCGAGGGCAACCCAGATATCCTCGCATTCCCGGGCAAAGTCGACCAAGACGTGAGACCACGCCCACGCCCACGCGAACACACATACACAATGTGTCGAGTGGTGTTGTGTTTTGTGTGTGTGTGTGTGTGTGTGTGGACTTCTCTGTCAGGGTGTGTTGCGTCTGTATCCGTGGAACCGGACGGCCAAGCAGATGGAGCGTGACAAGAAGAACAAACGCGTCGACAAAACGGCCCTGGGGGTCGACACGGTCAGTGTGCCGCGTCTGGCGGTGTCTGTCAGGGAGGGAGGGAGGCAACCGACTTATGTGTGCGTGTGTGTTGTGTGTGTGTATGTTGTGTGTGTGCAGGAGCAGCCGACGGCATGGGTGGAGCGCACCACTCCTGTGCTGCGGGTACTGCCCGACGTGAAATATGCATACGTCTACATCCAGGTCACTAAAAATCACCATCATTGTCTGGCGCAACTCGAGGAGCATTCGTGTGTGTGTGTGCCTTCCTTCCGTCCCCCTGTGTGTCATGTGCTGTGTGTGATGTGGTGCAGGAGAAGGGCCAGGAGGGGAAGCTCCCTCGCATTTTCGGACGGTAGGTACCATCTTCCTACAGATAGATGGGGGCGATCAATCATTCCATCAGGTTGGAGTTGATCGACGCCCCGACGCGCAACCGCGACGAGGAGGGGCCCGATGGCGGCGAACAGGCGTCACCACAGGCCACCAAGCCCGGCGAACGGAGAAGGCCAAACCCAGACTGGGTCAAGGTACGCACACACGCCCCGCACATCCATCCACTCACCAAACGAGAGCCATCCATCCAACCACTCTCCCTCCCTCCCTCCCTCCCTCCCCCTCCCTCTCAGCTCCACTTCGACCAGTCTGTGGTCCGTCTGCCCGAGGCCCGGTACCCATCTGACTTCGCGGGCTGCCTGCTGGGGTCGGCCCAGTTCATCCCGCCCCCCTTTGTGCCCAAGAAGCGCACCACCACATCGACCGTGCCATCAGAGGCCGGCGCCGGCGGGCAGAAGGAGACGCGCATCGACATGCCCTTCGGCGAAACCCAGCCCCCCTCGTCGCCGTCGGAGGGCGGCGACCCATGGGACCTGGAGGAAAAGATGATTGAGTAAGAGACAGAGAGAGAGAGAGAGAGAGATGTCGGCATCTTGTGTGTGCCTTTATTTATGTGGATGTCAGTGACCCTAGGATGGCTCCGAAGATAGAGGAGACGGCGTACGTGCCCACCCTGACGCACACAGTGGGGCTGTGCCAGTGCAGACCCCAGGTGGTCCGCGACGGCTCGCCAGGCGCCACCGTCGAGTTCGAGCTGGAGCCGCCACGACCCAAGCGCGAGGGCACAGAGGGAGAGGCGTTGGCGAAGGAGCCGTCTCCGTTCTTCCCGCCGCTGTACCTGCACGTGGACGTGCTGCAAGCGCGGAACCTGCCGTCGCAGGATGAGGACGGGCTTGTCGACCCTCTCTGGGAGATCTGCGTCGAGGACAAGGTGGGGTGGTGGGCTGGTGGGTGCAGAGAAGAGCGAGGTCGTGTGTGGATTGGGTGTGCTGTCTTGTGTTGTCTTGTGTTGTGTTGGGTGTGACAATGGACAGCGTGTGTGTCCTGCTCGTGGGTTCGTGCCCAAGTCGCTGAACCCCTCGTACCTGCAGCGGGTGGTGATTCCCCTACCAGAGATCTACTGCCCGCCACCCACTGGCCCGTGAGCACCAGCAAGACCAGCACCATGGGGCACACACATGACATGTGGCGGGCATGTGTGTGAAATGGTGCAGGCGCTCACCCGGCTCGTTGGGACCACCCGATTCGTTGGAGCGGTACGACGCTGTTGCGGATGAGAAGGAGCGGATGGAGATCCCCCCGCCGCCCGTGCTGGTGAGGATGTTCGACATCGATGAGGGCAAAGTCCCGGGCGCCGCTGTGGTGAACAAACAAACAAACCGACACACATTCATTCAATCAGGCCACCCACCCGAGCACACTGACTGTCCCCGCCTGTGTGTGTTGGGTCGGTCGGTGGTCGTGCGCCGGGGTGCGATGCAGTATGAGGAGATGGGTCAGATCGTCGAGTGGCAGCCCTCCAACCTCGACTTCCTCAACACCTCGAAGCATGTACGCACCCACACACCCACACACACATACACAGACTGCCCAGGACCACCCAATTGTGTGTGTGTGTGTGTGTCTGTGTGTGTGTGGTGTCCTTGTAGCGTCCGCTGGATGTCAACGCGGTCCACGTCCCCCGCTGGTACGACCTGGCCCACGAGGACCAAGTCGACTATGCAGAGCTGGACAGACCCAACAAGTCAGCATAGCAGGCAGGCAGGCAGATCACTTCAACACATACACTGCTGTTTATGCAGGCGGGCAAAGCACGCGATGTGGCAGCGCAAGGTCAAGCTCCTGGCAGCCATCGGCTACTCGCGGCAGTGCCCACCCGCACTCCTCTACCACCTCACACACGCTGAAGTCAAGGAGAAGCCGCCGAAAGGTCAGCCCCCTCTCCCTCTCTGCCATGTCTGTGCTGGATGGATGGGTGGGTGGGTGGATGGGTCGTCAGATTTGCGCAACGGTCGTGTGTTGAACCAGAAGGCCAAGTGGAAGGTGCCCGTGAAGGACACCGAGGCCACATGGGTGGAGTTCGTGCAGCGCGGCCTGGCGGGAGAGGAGCCGGTGGACGACTGCCTCATCACACGCATCACCAGAGAGCTCGCAGGTGCGCACACACAACCAATCCATTGCATATGGTTGGTGCGATCGGTCCACCCACACACAGGTCAGGAGGAGGTGTTTGTGTTCGACTTCGACTTGCTGGGTCTCCGGCGGCTGGACGAATTCTCCCGCACGGCCGACTACAAGCTCTTCGTCGACTCCTTCTGGCCCACACCGCCACGCGTCGAACTGTCGGTGAGACGCCAAAGCCAACCAGAGCCTTCTTCTTGGCATCCATCCATCCATCGTGTGTGTGTGTGTGTCAGATCTCAGGGTCTGATTTGCCGTGTCCGAACCTGACGTATGCCGCCAAGGCGAGGGGCATGTTCGAGGCCCTGGCCTCGGGGTTCTTCACGCAGGCGTCGGGGGCAGACGCCAGCCAGAGACGCAAGATTTCCAGAAAGGACACTGAGGAGGGTAGGTGCGCACACAGGCAGACACACAGGCAGGCAGGCAGGCAGGCAGGGATGTCTAGCTGGGGATTTGGGATTGGTTGCTGTCTGTGTGTGTGTAGAGGCTGTCGGCGTCCGCATCACATCTCCCCACTACGCCACGCCCATGCTCGAGTACCTGCAGGTAACCAACAGCTGCCAACACAGCCACAGACAATGAACCTACGCAACCCCCTCCTCTCTCCCCCTCCGCCTCCTTTCGTCCCCATACAGATTGAGCCCGAGGCCACAATGACCGGCGTGACCAACAACGCCGCCAACAATGTCGTCAACAATCACGGCGTCCCGGACACCGCCCGCGACAGCATCGGCAGCGGCAGTGGCGGCGCCGACACCTCCCGCGACACATCCCGCTACCAGACGCGCGTCATCATGCCCGACCTGACCTTCCGCCTAGAAGGCCAGAAGCAGGCCACCCTGTCGGTGTCGCTGCAGGACTACAAGCACGTTGTGCAGTCGGGGACGCCAGAGAAGGAAGACGAGGACGACCTGCTGGTGCTGACACGTGAAGTGCAGGAGGTGGATACCGCCGCACGGGCGCAGGGGGGCCTGGGGGTGGGGGGCAAGGCAGTCGCCAGACCGGTCCCCTTGACGGCAGAAATAAAAGAGGTGGGGAGGGAGGGAGGGAGGAGAGAGAGAGAGTGGAATGGCTGTGTGTGCGTGTATACAGGCGTTTGACAAGAAGGCGAAGCCCATGGAGCATCTGGTCGCGATGAACGCGCCGATTGTCGAGGTCACTGTGGACATCTACGCCGGTCGGTGTGACCACCAGCACTCTTCTGAAGAGTGAATGAATGAGTATTATTGCTGGTCGGTCCCGTGTGTGTGTGTGTTGTGTTGGTCAGAGGCCGATGGCGAGCTGATATTTGACGAGGACGTCAAGGTGGGTCGGTTCATCCTCGACCACGACCTCTTCACCATCGGCCCCTCGGAGATGCAGACCATGAAAGGCATCACCACCAAAACGGTCAGGGCGTGGCCTGGATGACACGCCCACCGAGAGAGAGAGGGAAGGACTGTGTGCTGGCTGCCTGGCCTCTGCAGGACCAGAAGTTCAACCAAGACGACCTTCTCGTCAACGCACCTCCCGAGGAAAGGGCCAGGGCATTCACCAACCCACTCCTCATGGTAATAGCTAGCAACAACCCACACACAACACAAGGCACACGCGAAACATTCCTCCCTCCCTGTCTGTCTGTGCCATTCTGTCCGCCCGTCCCAGGTGGACCTCAACGACAGAGGCTGGACGAGCGAAGATTACGAGAAGCGCAAGCCCTTCGCCCCCCTGACCATGATGGCCGGACCCACCGCCCTCCTCGACCAGAAGACCACCAGACGCCCATCACCACCACAAGGGGGCGATCAGCAGACCGCTGCTGCTGCTGCCGCCAAAGCCAAGGCGGCTCCCAAGGCGGCCCCAGCACCGGCCTCCGGGACTGGTCCGCAGCAGTCGTCCCCGGCGGATCTGTCGAGCCAGATGGCGGCCCTATTCGACACCGACAAGGCCATCAAGGAGAACATGCGGACCTTCCTGCGGCCGGTGGGGCACAAGGTCGACCTCAACGACAACAAAGGGTCAGCCAGTGAGTGGGTGGGTGGGTGGGTGGATGGGCACAAGAACCAGACCGAATGACGCGTTGGCCCTTTCTTTCTCGTCTCTCTCTCTGTTCTTCGGCCGGTCTGCTAGGTCTCACGTGTTGGCGCGTCTGCGGATGTACAGCGTCGACAAGGCCGACACGACCAAGGGGTCGGCCAGGTCGGTGGCCCCAGTCACCTCGGCCCAGTTCGAGCCATTCGAGGGCATCGACTTCGAGCCGACCATGAACATAGTGGAGATCAAGTCGCAGATTGACGGGGAGGTCGTGTGGCGCACCAAGAAGCACCAGTACAAAGACGCGGGGGAGCTGCTGCTCATCCTCAAGGCAGAGGACGGCTACTACCGAATCGACGTGCCGACATTCGACATTCGGTCGGTCCAGAGAGGCGAAATGAGGGAGAGAGAGAGAGAGAGAGAGGCCCATGCATCGCCTCTCTGTGTGCGTCTGTGTGTGTGGGTGTGGCAGTTTCCCGTACGAGACGGGCTTTTGGGTGTACGAGACCACCACACAGAAGTTCGATGACCTGGAACGGGAGTACGCACAGACAGACAGACCTGCACACAACAGAGCAGTGTCGATGGTCATGTGAGCCATGTGTGTCGTGTGTGGTGTGCGGTGTGCGGTGTGTGTCAGGGTTGAGCGTGAAGACATCCGGAAGCAAATCGCGAACCTCAAGAAGGGCAACAGGAAGAAACCCAAACACAAGCGAAGGGTTGGCATGCAAGAGAGAGACAGAGAGAGAGTGGGAGCCTTGTGTGTCATGCATGCGATGCGGTGTGCATGTCAGGAGCACAAGGAAAAGATCAAGGAGCTGAACCTGTCGCTCAAAGCCACAGAAAAAACCGAGCAAGAATCGGTAACTAACTAACGGCTCCACACCACACACACCTACATCAGCAAGTGCAGAGGGGTGTGTGTGTGTGTGTAGAAGGACCAGCCATTGGGTCGTCTCCCGAAGCACCACACGCTTGACGCCTTTGGCATCACGGCGACCGACATGAAGACGCTCGGCTACAAGTACCCCCTCCCCATCAGCAGGGGCGAGTTCGTCCTCAGACTCAAGAAGCGAAAGGCCATCGTAGCTGACAGGTCAGCCAGGCGACCCACACAGAGCCCAACATATATGTGTGTGTGTATGGGTGTGTGTAGGGACCAAGTTGACGAGAGCGACAACACGCTGTTTTCGACGCTCAACCTGAAGCCCGTGTGCAACCTGGTGGAGCCGCTCGTCACCGGCGAGACTCTCAAACCCGTCGGACTCCTCAAGGTAGCCAGATCATTGAAACGGCTGGCAACCGAGCGAAGCGGCGGATGCGTGTGTGTGTGTGTGTGTGTGTGAGCAGGGGCATGTGTCGATCAAGCATCTCGATAGCCGCAAGAAGGGCGAGAAGACCGAGGTCGCGAAGCCGCCGCCGCCGGCCGAGGGCAAGAAGGTGCAGGTGCAGCTGCCGCCCGCGGCCGCCGAGGACAAGAAGGTGCATGAGTGGGAGATGACGCCCGCCCGTCAGATGAACTGTAAAGAGGTCAGTTGGTCACTTACACACGCAGACACACACACAGACGCTCCCCTGTGTTGTGTGTGTGATGTCAGGAGCGTGTGATGGTTCACGTGTACGTGTTGACGGCTCGCGACCTGAAGAACGTCGACATCATCGGCAAGTCGGATCCCTTCCTCGAGATCTCACTGGCCGGCAAGAAGGAGACATCCAAGAAAGTCTTCAACGAGTCAGCACAGACACGCATTAGCTTAGACACCGGAGCACGGCTGCCTGTATCTGCTTGTGTGCAGGGATTTGGACCCCGATTTCTATGAGCACTTCACGCTCATGGCGACCGTACCTGGCGACTCGCTGCTCACCATCGCTGTCAAAGAGAAACACACAGAGAGAGAGCTTTGGTCGTCCATCTCCCCACACTCGTGTGTGTGTGTGTGTGTGTGCAGGTGATGGACCAGGGCAGCGTGTCCAACACCTTGATGGGCAAGGTCAACATCGACCTAGAGGACAGGTAGGTGCACACCCATTCCATCCTCTGCCGCACACACCCCATCCCTTGTCTGTTGTCTGGTCTGCACGTCTCTCTCTTTCTGTGTGCAGATGGCTGGCACTGCAGCGGCGCAAGCCCACTCAAGAGGAGAAGGACAAGTGAGCAAACACACATTCCCCCTCCCCTCCCCCCCAACACACACGCACCCTCCCTGCTGTCTCTCTCTCTCTCTCTCTCTCTCTCTCTCAGCACATTAGAAGTAGAGATCAAGGAGGACGGCTCCTCGCCCACCTTCGGGCCCAGCAGCTCCGGCTCGCCATCGCCACTCGTCCGGGGCAGCAGGGGCACCAGTCAAAAGCTCTCCATTCCGGGCGGCAGCCGTGCCGCCAGTGCTTCTGCTGCGGCCGCTGCTGCCGTGGCGGTCAAGAAGGAGACCTTCCTGCCGCCGCGCAAGAACAGCCCAATCGAGATCATGCCGCTGCGCATGGGCGACGGCGGCGATGGCCTCACCACGGGCAATCTCAGATACTTCATAGACCTGGTGGGTTTGGTTGGGGTGGGTGGTGGCGGGCGCAGACAGGGAGGGGCGGTGGTTTGTTTGTGCGGTCGGTGTCAGGTGCGCGAGGCCGACCCTTACAAGGAGGTGGGTCTGGCGGAGTTGAGTTTCTCCATCGAGTTTGAGCTGCGCGTCATCGTCTGGAATGTCACGGACATATCCGTCTTCAAAGACATCGGTCGGCACACCACACCACACCACACCCACTCACACCGCTCTCACTGTTTGGTTGCTTGACTTACAGGAGGTCGGAACGACGTCATGATAGAGATCACCTTGTCGGTTTGGAACTTCTTCGGCGAGGTCACCGAGACGACCCTGCAGACGGACGTGCACAAGTTCGCCCGCGAGAGGGCCAACTTCAACTGGCGCATGAAATTCCCAATCAAGCTGCCCGCCGCTGCTGTCGATATGAAGGTGCGGATGCGCGTGTGTGTGGCCCTTGTGTGTCTGTGTCCCTTGTGTGTTGGGTGGTGGGTGTCCTGACGTGTGTGTGTCTGTGTGTGGATGGGTTCGTTAGTGTCGGATTGTGGACTGCGACACGCTCTCTGGCGACGATGTCATCTACGACGATGAGACCATTCCGCTCGACGACCTCTGCAGGTACTCTTGCACACGACCGTCCCTCTCTCTGTGTGTGTGGGTTGATGGATGGATGGATGAGTGGATGAGTGGATGAGTGGTGCAGGTACTCGCTGAAGCAGAAGATGGAGCACAGGCCGCTCCTGCCCCCCCTGCAGTACCCCGTCATCTTCGACTCGCCCAGACAAGACGACTTGTAAGCAACCCGCCCATCCACCAACCCATCAGCCCGAACACGTGTCCATGTGCGTGCGTGTGTGTGTGTGTGTGTGTGTGCAGTTTGGGGAGTCTGTGCGGGTCCTGTTGTCCGACCCTCCGGTGGGGCAGCCTCTGCTGCCGACCCCCGCCTGACGAGGACGACGATGACGCCCCACGACGGGGCTGCTGCGGACGCCGGAGGGACATGTACGCGAGCAACTGCACACACACACATACACACACACCCATGTCTGCGCAGCTTGATCACGCCCGCCAAGTTGTCGATGCGTCTGGAGATGGTGCCGATGGACGTGGCCAAGGCCGAGCCAGTGGGGACGGGCCGCAGCGAGCCCAACGTCAACCCGTTCCTGGGCGAGCCGCAGGACAGAGTCGAGTGGTCCCTCTGCCTATCGGTCAGCCACACAGGCGGGGCGGGGCTGGTTCAGTCACTGGTGCACAGTGCGATCGATGATGCGTGTGTGTCCGTGTGTGTGTGTGTGTGTGTGCGTCTTCAGAATCCCTGCAAGTTCCTGGAGATTCTGATTGGCAAGGACATGTACCGGTGCCTCACCTATGGCAGCTGCTGCCTGTGCATCCTGCTGGTGGTGGCCCTCGTCCTCTTCCTCATCTTCATGGCCGTCCAGACCACAGTAGTGCCGTTCAAATAAATGAACAAACAGATAGATAGACGTAGATAGACAGACGTAGAGACGGCCGGCAGCTGGCTGAGAGAGGGGTGAGAGAGGAGCGGGAGGGAGGGAGGGAGGGAGGGAGGGGGGGGAAATTGGGGGTGTGCATACCGGCATATATATAAGCGGACTCGCGAAAAACGATCGACTGTGGGAAAGTTTTACCTGTCTGAAGGCTCGCTCGTACGCAGAGTCGTTCATAGACACGTGGCACCGCATCAGTCGATCACCTCACTCTCACGCACACCAACGCGCTGCTTCCGCCTATCGGTATAGGCTCACAGCCGGTGCACACACACCCACAGTCTCACACACGGGCGACAAATAACATCACACCACACACACACATGCAGGCAGACAGGCAGACAGCCCTCTCACGTTCATATCATGTCAGGGAGCCATCCCTAGCACCATCCATCCATCCATCCATCCATTTCACCCGACCATCTGTCCATCGTTACGCACACACACATGCACAATTAGAAACTCCATTGGGACTCGGCCGGCCTCCGCGAGATGTAAATCGCTTGAAATGCACCGCCTTAAACTTCATTCTCCAGACCACAGTAATCACGCTCAATAATCCTCTGGGCCAGGACCAACCGGCTGCAACCACACAGAGAGATCCGAGCAAGCCCTTCGTGTGTTCCGTGCTATGTGTCTGGTGTACAGTACCATTGGCTTCTTCTCTTCCTCTTCCCTCTCGACCATCATTCCCTCAGTGGTGAGGACCAGGCCGGCGACCGAGGCGGCGTTCTCGATGGCGGCCACGATGACCTTGGCGGGGTCGATGACGCCCATCCCGATCATGTCGCCGAACTTGCTCGTCTTGGCGTTCCAACCAAACCTGAGAAAGAAAGAGCGACAGACGGCATTGCGTCGGTCGTCTTGTGTCTTGTGTCATGTGTGCGGTGTGTGGTGGTGGTACCCGAATGGCTTCCCCGAGTTCATGATGACGTCGACGATCCGCTCGCCGCTGACGCCCGCGTTGTCTGCGATTTGTTGGGTGATGGACCGCATGGCCTCGATGATGATCTTGGCGCCCGCCTTCTGCAGCTCGATCTCACTCTCCATCTCCTCTGCCAGTCAACATCAACACCACACACAGACCGACCAATGGATGTGGTCTTTTCTTTCTTATGGCAGTGCAGTGCACATACGTACCGGCTCCGACGTTCTCAACGTACTGCTCGCCGGTTTCCTCGTCGATGCCCAAGAGCTCCGCCTTGGCGGACTTCTCCACCTCGGCCAGCACCTGCTCCTCAAAGGCCGGGTTCGCCACCGCCAGGTAGGTCACGCCGCCTCCAGGCACATAGCCGGTCTCCATTGCCGCGCGCACCGCATTGATGGCGTCCTCATACCTAGATGGAATGAACGGCGCATCGAGCGGGGTGAGAATGCGGCTCTGTTGGCTGGCTCACCTGAGTTTCTTCTCTTTCTGTTCTGTCTCGGTGGCGGCTCCGATCATGATTCTGGCGATGCCGCCCGAGAGAGCGGCGATCCTCTCGTCGAGCTTCTCCCTGTCGAACTTGGAGGTGGACTTCTCCTTCTCGCCTCGCAGCTGCTCGATGCGCGCATCGATGTTGGCTGCACCACACACACACGCACACACGGGGAGTCCAAGGCAATGAGGTCCGTCCGATATGCCGAGAGGCATCGACAGCTCACGTTTGAATCTGGGGTAGGTGATGATGCTGGTGCGCTCCTTCCTGACGACGGCTGCCTGCGCCACGCCCAGGAGGTCCGGTGTGGCGTCTTCGAGCATGACGCCGATGTCCTTGGAGATGAGCGTGGCGTTGGTGGCGATGGCGATGTCGCGGAGGTAGTCCTTGCGCCGCTCGCCGAAAGAGGGGGCCTTGACGCCACACTGAGGTCACATAGTCACATGAAAGGGCAAGAAGGACATGTCTTGTGGGGGGAATGGGAGGGTGAATGGTCGCATGGGAGGGGAGGGGGTGTTGTGTTGGGTGGCTGACTGACCACTTTGAGGAGCCCTCTCATTTTGTTGATGACGAGTGTCTGCATGGCCTCGGGGCCGAAGTCCTCAGCAATGATCAGGAGGTTCTCCTGCACACCATACACAGCAAGAGAGACGAATGACTGCATCCCTGCGGTCGGTTGTGTCCTCGCCCCCTCTCAATGAGTCCCTGTATGTGCGCACCTTGGTCTTGACAAAGTACTCGAGCAGCCGGATGATGGCCTGTGCCGACTCGACTTTGTAATCGACGACCAGCACTCGCGGGTTCTGATAGTCGATGATGTCACGCTCCTCGCCCTACGCACGACAACACACACACACGCCGCGAGCAATGTGTGGCGGATGACTGATGTTTCTGTCGTTGGGTCTTGGCTGACCACAAGGAAGTATGGCGAGGCCCAGCCCCTATCGAATGTGTAGCCCTCAGTGAATTCGAGCTCGTCCTCAAGTGCGGGGTTCTCCTCCAGGATGGTGGCCGCATTGGCACCCAGCTTGTCGAACGCCTCGGCAATCACCTCGCCCATACCTGCACACACGCACACGCGCGCGCACACACACACACACACACAATGTGGAGAGCCGCCTGTGGGATTTGGTACGAAGGGTTGCGTACCGGTGTTTCCGCTTGTGGCGACCGTTGCGATGTTGTTGAGGTCCTTCTTGCCGTCGACGGGCTTGGCCAGCCGCCGCACCTCGTCCATCATCATCTTGGACGCCTTCTGGATGCCCCTGACAAAACAGCCACGCAGCAACACACGCGAACGACACCATTGATGGAGCAGAGCAGAGCACCCCTGATTTGATTGGGCCTCCATCCGTGTCACGAGGCGCTGTGCCTACTTTTGTATTGGGATGGGGTTGTGTCCGGCGTTGACGTACTTGACGCCGGCCTTGCAGATCTCGCTGGTGATGATGGTCGTGCTGGTCGTCCCGTCGCCTGCCCTGTCGTCACTCGTGGCCGCGACCTCCTGCACTAACTTGGCACCTGAACGCAACGCAGCGCAATGCAATGCATCTGGCTGGCCGTCTGTGTCTGCTCACCAGCATTGAGCTTTCTGTCCTTGAGCTCGATGTTCCTCGCAATCGTCACCCCGTCATTCACCTGAGCAGCGAAGCACGTAACGCACAGAGAGCATCTCACTGCCACTGCCCCCGTGGTGTGTGTGTGTGTGTGTGTGACATTGGCTGGCTTACGATCATGGGAGGTCCGTACTCCTTTTCGAGCAGGACGTTTCTGCCTCTTGGTCCAAGGGTGACACGCACGGCAGCCGCCACCTGCTCGATGCCGTCCAGCAGGTAGTTCCGGCACGGGTCAGACAGAATGATCTCCTTGAACTTGCGACCCTGATCACAGACAGGACAACACACACACACACACACAGACACACACGAAGACAGACGGTAAGTCAGTCAGGGTAGTGATTGCTCGGGTGAATGCAGCCTCACAGACTCATTGCCCACGACCCACTGGACACGCACACCTCCCCTCGCACATGGCTGGCCTCATCCACTACAAACTCGTGATAGATCTGTCTGTCTGCCCCCTCCCCTCCCTCTCAGCCATCCCTAATCCACGCACCTACCTGCATCTGCAGGCTGCTGGATCCTCTCTGGTGCCGCATTGCCCTGATTGGCGCATGGTGCCTCCTCTGCAGCAGGCCAGGTCGTCGTAGAGCTGCATTCGGCGCGACAAATGCGTCCGTTCTTCTGAGTGCATTGACGACATGGACGAGAACGGCAAGCAGTGATGCGACAAGCGCACCCATCGTCACGGGTGGAAGCGGCCGCATGAAGAGGCGGAGGTCTGAGGCCGTCCTGCCCTGGAGATCTGCCGCGAAACTGACCAGCAAGCTCAGCTCGCAGACGCCAAAAATTCTCTGATGGCGGCATCTCTCTTCGCAAGCAAGCAAGGTGAGCGTCCACAGTTGCAGAGATCTGTCCTTGGGGCTGCTTGCCCAGCCAATCCGGATGTTCCACCCGACGACGGCGGACGCTTCGCCTCCCCGTGGATCTTCGCCTGCGCGCATGAGGGACGAGGTAGGAGGGAGGAGATTCACGACACGCTCGTGCTCTTCGGCACGATTCCTGTGACTCGGTTGAAGGCCCCAAAGCGCGGGCTGTGTTGTGGGGGCGATCTGCTATTCGTGTCGTTCCCTACCGCCTGCGATGGCGTGTCCTCCTTTCTGCGGGAGGGGAGGGCAGTGGGACCCCAACAACATCCGCTCCAAATACTGGATCAAACGCAAACTCGGAAGTAAGCACAAGGCAAAACCTGGGCGAGGAGGTTCTGTATCTGTTGAGTTCTGCTGTCTGTGCTGCTGTGTGCGCAGCTGGCGCCTTTGGTCAGGTCCGTGCAGCGATTGAGAAGGAGACTGGCGGTCGGCGAGCCGTCAAGATGATCCTAAAGAACGAAGCGCAACACCACGAGGTGAGAACGGGGCGATGGGAGTAAAGGGCAACCACGTCGGCTTCGTTCTGATCACTTTTCTCCTTCAGCTAGTCAATGAAGTGGAGATAATGCAGCAGCTCGACCGTAAGCACACAGAGCCCGCCCGACCAGCATCGCACTGATGCCTTTTCTCTCTACTGGCCTGTTGCAGACCCCAATATTGTCAAGTGGGTGTAGGACGAAGGCCAATGTCAATGGTCGGTATGTCATCCCCTTTTGCTGCAGGCTGTTTGATTTCTTTGAGGACAAGAACTTTTATTACTACGTGATGGAGCTGTGTGAAGGCGGCGCTCTTCTCGCCAAGCTCGAGGTACTCGGACCGGACCCAGCAAGCCAGATGGTCGATGGTAAATGGGTTCGCACTATCTGCGCATAGGACGAGATATTTCTGACCGAGGAGACGGCCAGCAAATACGTCAGGTGAGAGGAGCACACACACGTACACACACGCATGGTCGTCTCTCTCACATTTCGATGCATTGCATGTCTGCAGGCAAATCCTGTCTGCATTAGAGTACATGCACGCCAAGAACATCATCCACAGGGACATTAAACCAGAGAATATCATGGTCCTCCTGCACCAATGAACCAATGAGATTGAAGGAGAAATAAGACCATGTGCGGTTGCCTCTGTCGGCATGGTGCATGGCTTCGTGCAGTTCGCGAAGAAGGAGAGGGGGAAGGAGGCCTTGCTGAAGCTTGTCGACTTCGGTCTTGCCACCCAGCTGCCTGAGGGCAAGACAACCATCAAAGACGACCCCTGTGGCACTGTCTACTACCTGCCACCAGAAGCATGCAGGTGCGAGGAATGGAACAAAAGGCGAAAAAGATCCCACTCCGTAGCGTCTCGCTCGCTGTGCACATCAATTTAGGGGGATTCACACGGTGAAGGCTGACATTTGGGCTGTTGGAGTGATTGTGTACATGGTTTTGTTTGGCATGGCGCCGTTCGACGGCAGTGACGCCAAGGAAGTCATGGTGGGTACGGGAATGGGTGACTTGCATTGGTTCAGTCTCTGCCGCTATGATTGTCGCTCTCATTTCGTGCGCGTGGCGTCACAGAGGAAGATTGTTCACGACGCGCCAGCCTATTTGAACGCATCAAAACAGGTATACCTGCCGTCCTCACCCGAACTCCTCTCTTGATAGTCTTGGTCATTTCGCCTCGCCCGCAGGCCCATGACTTCATGCGGAAGTGTCTCGAGAAGGACCCCAACAAGCGATTCACCGCGACACAAGGTGGGCCGGCAGGGACAGGGGGAGGCAGCTGTCTGCGTTTCTCCTATCTGCCTCTCCTTCCCCTTGCTGCGTCAGCGCTGGAGCACCCATGGATAGTGAAGGCCGGCAGCGAGCGGCTGGACAAGAAGAAGATATCTGACGTCAGGTCCGTCCTCGACCTACACAGACAGTCCGTCTCGCGGAGGCAAGAGGTGCGGACACAACAGCAGCAAATAGAGACACAAACAAGTCAATCTTGCCTTCTGGCCGCAGATTGACACGATTGTGCGGCAACGTATCAAGGACGAGAACAGAGGGCACCGCGAGGTCAGGTCAACAGTGGATGACCGCTCTCATTGCTTCCGTGCGACTGTCTTGTCTGTGCTGTGCCTACCTCTGTGCTCCAGAAGCGCCGCGAGAGCCGCAGAATGTCCATGGTGTCGGGGTCACAATCCTCGGTCAGTCACCTCGATTGTATCGATATGCATCAAAGGCCGCAGCTGGATCACCACACATGTCTCTCTCTCTCTCTGTGTGTGTGTGTGGTTGCCTGCAGAAACGACAGTCACACCACCAATTGAGGTACGGTGACCCGCGACGGTCGGTGTCGTCTCCGGGCAGTCAGAGAGTCCGTCACAGTATCAGTGAGAAGGTGGCCCATGCCATCGAAAAGTTTGTCCTGCCTAACCGAATACTGTCAAGGTGCACACACGCACTAACCCCAGGATACAGACACACACGAGGACACACACACACACGCACTCGTTCATGCAGTCAGGCTTTTCGTTCGATGGTCTGCTTGCTCCGTGGTCGCTCTCTGACTCCAGTTGTGTGGCTCTCTCTCACTCTGTGTCGGCGGGTGCGGTACCTGTGTGTGTTGATGGTTGTGTGCAGGACGGACACGCATCGGTCTTCCCTTTCGGGATCGGTGATCTCATACAAGTCATCCAACGACAAGTCCAACGTGGACAAGAGAAACTCACGCAGAAACAGCCAGGTACCAACAGGGAGACACACAGAGACATGCACACACATGTCCCCCTCCTTGTGATGCAGATCATCATCCCTCTGCAATATTTGGAGGATTCCAAGACGTTCGTGCAGCTGGACAACCTGCCATCCTTCGACGAGAGCAGCCACACCGATGACGACAACAACACACGACGCAACTCGACCCTCTCCCAACACACTGCACCCGCAGTGGCCATGATTGTCAACGGCACCGACAACGACGTTGACAAGCAGCAGAAGACTGAGAATGAGAAGCGCAAGGAAGGCGATGTGGTGGACGGGGCTGTGGTGGAGGCGGTGGCAGGTGCAGGTGTGGTGGGTGTCAAGCCGCCCAAGGCGGATGACAAGGACAAAGAGATGGCCGAGGCGGCACTGGACGACGCCCTCAACCAACTCTCGCTGTCGGTGCTCAAGAAGTGAACGATCAATGCCCATCCATACGTTGCATTCTGTCGATAGATAGAGAGTCCGCGCCCCTTTGTGTTGTGTACGACCCATTGGCCGGCTGTCTGTGAATGGCGATGGTTGGTTGGTTGGTTGGTTGCATGTGTGTGTAAGTAGGGCGCCTCTTCTTGACGACAGTGTACACACTGTGCTGTGGATGGCTATACTTCCATATATCAGTAGAGATGTCTCTCGCCCCTCCCCTCCATGGATCGGATCGTGTCTCAAAACCTCGCAACGCCACACATGCAGTGCACACTACACTCATGCAGAAAAAACTATACACCAGCACGAGAGGTAGATAATGATGTGACAGATAGATGTATGTTTGTACCGCTCACGCAAAACGCACCACTCAGCCATCTACCATCTTGGTGTTGCTAGGGCTACTGCCTGGCCTGCCTGCCCTGTCTTCGGCGTCTTCCCGTCGCCCGCAACCTCTACACGCGAGTTGCCATCAAGAATCAACCGACGGCAAAGGGCAAGGGCCTTTACAATGCGATGCGATCGTCCGTCACTCCCATTTCTTCATCTGCAGAACTGCGATCAGAAGAAGTTTTGGGAGCCTGGTAGGGTAAGGTTCGGGTTGGTGCCGGCTTTCTTGACAGACCACACGGTGACGTCAAACTCCACAGGTGTGTTAGGAGGCACCATCCCACGACTGACCAAACACAGAAAGACACAAACGAGCACAGCACATCGTGTGCCTTTGGGCTTCTCAGCGTGCGTGGTGCTGTGCTGCCGTGATGTTTGCTCGTACCCCTTCTCTCCATATGCCTCAGCTGACGGCAACACGACTTTCCGCCTCCCGCCGACCTTCATGCCCTCCTGTGCCAGCACACACATCAGCAATCGCACAATATACGCCACATGTGGTAAGGTAAGTGAGTGTCCGTACCAGGGCGTCTTCGAGTGCCTTTGGTATTTTCCGGTTGAAGTCACCGCCGTACGTGAAGCCAAAGGGCCGTGCTGCAAGGCCACTGGAATCGCGCGTCGACTCCACCTCAATGCCTAGACGGACGGACACGCAGCCGCAGCCGGACACATGCAGTGCACACCGACACGTCGATGTGTGTTTGTCCGGCGTACCGTTGCAGAAGAGGCTGTAGTGTATGGCCACAGTGTCGCCCACTTCCAGCTGATTGCCGTCACCCAACAGCACATCCTGGTACCGCACCCCATTGTCAAGCTCGACAGCGGCGCAGTTCTTACACCTCTTGACGCCCGCAGCTGCATGACAAACATGAATGGGACACACAGAGTGAGAGTACGTGTGTGTGCACATCTATCGGATCTATGTGACGGGACGTACCTGCAGGCAGTGGGAGAGCGATGCCTGCGGCCAGCAATGCGCCCAGCGGCCTCAAAAGAAGGCTCCTGCGGTCGACGCTTTCAACATCTGTCGATGGCAGCGCGTCACTGGACAGCCTCTGCGCGTTGAGTAGACTTCGTAAGCATCTTCGCCTGGACGATGAAGAACAGGGCAGCAAGAAAGAAAAGCAAGATGACAACAGTGAAAGCAGAGATGCAATGAAGAACAGGGGGAACTGCATTGATGGTCGCGTTGATTTCAAGCTCGCATTCAAAGGACGCTCAGTCGAGAAGTTGAGACGGCCCCGATTTTTGCCCCCGTCTTCTTTGCGGTTTTTCTTTCGCTTGCCTTCTCCATCGTTTGCAGGCCATCTTGCCGGCATTTGCGGGCACTCGTAAGCATGCCCGACGGCACGTCAACACGTCTTTCAACAGGTGCTGCAAGAAGACACACGAGAAGGTACATGAATCATGTGTGTTGCCTCATCTGTCTGCCTGTATACTTGCCTTTGTTTTGACACATGTGTGTAGACCGTGCAGCAGCTGCAGTCAATAGCGAGATGACTTCCATGGCCATTACACGCATCCGTTTTTTCCGCTGTGCGGGTGTGTCTGGCGGCGGCCTCTCGCGCTCTACGAATGATGACGTGCGTCGCATTTGACTTGCAAGACCTCTTCTCGGGCGGCAGCGATTACATTCCGTTCGAAGTTTCGTCGGCGGTTCTTCTACCAGCCTGACGAGACCAAGAGAATACCCATGGGCCTCCAGCGCGGCATCCCATCGTATGATTACCCATTGGACTGCACAAGGTGCCCGACGGCCCAATTCCGCAGACGCACTTCAACTGGGACGGCGTGTGCGACAAGAAGGGCTGTGGCGGCGGGAAGAAGTACTACATGCACGTGGAGCGAAAGCCCAACCACCCCGCCGAGTCAGACCCCTCCTCGCGCAAGGACGGGATGGGGCCCCGGAGCACCCTGCGCTGCACCGAGAACAGGGCGGATGACGGCCGGGACCTGATGGGCAGGTTGCAGGAGAGGGTGCAGATGTTTGAGAGGGCCGAGCGGGAGTGGCTGAAGCACTTCGCGCGGCTCCGAGGGGTGAGTGAGAGAGGGAGGATACTTGTGTGTGTCCGTCCACGT